GTATTTCAAAAGTAATTTGAGTGGAAGGAGTTTTCGTTTTGAAATTTCTAAAACTTTTGAATTTCACACCATTTTTAACAAACAGTTATAAAAATGAAAATCTCTTTATTAATAAAACTTCTAAATATAAAATATACTTTTCTGAAATTTTATTTGAGAAATATTAACTGATTTAAACCTAAGGTAATTAATATGAGTTGAAACAAATATTATTTACTTTGAGTTTAAAATATCAAAGAAATGCATTTTTTAACATGGTGGTAGCTGTTTATTTATGTTGACAGCTTTTTAACAGCTCTATGACATCTTGGTGACTGATAGATTTTATCTAATGTTGTTCTATGGCAGCTTTATGCATGATTGAGGAATATAATAAAAGTGCTCATTAATCTTAAAAGTACTCATTAATCTTAAAAATTTAAGAAAATATTCTCTGTAATCTAATGTTTTATTGAATTTTAGAGAATTTTAGCTTTAAATTTACCATAGTTATCACTTTTATTTTCTGATAATGTCTGGTATGGATGTCCATATCTACAAAAATAAGCACATTTATGCACATACAAAAAACAATTCAAAATTCATTTTAATAGCGTTTGGTGTTGTCAGATTGTGATAAGTTTTATGATATATGAGTAGTAAATATAGTTTTACTTAACAATATTCCCTAAAATTTACACCATTGAGACTGAATTTTAAAAGATTTAAAACTTTTTAAATTATTCTAATTTGTGAAAAAAATGAAAACAAATTTTCATTGAAAATTTTTTTCTTAAGAATATTGTGCCTAATATATATTATTTATAAAATCAATTAAAAGCTTTTCGAATTAAATAATGTCTTAGTTTTAATCTGTTTTTTATTCTTGAGCAGATTTTTGGTAAGATAGGGTTTCATTTTGATTTAAATTCTCCAAAGAGTCCTGTTTTTAAGTAATATAGTCACTAAAAATTATTTTGTAGAATATTTTGAGTTATTACAAAATTAAGTGGTGTGAAACACATGTAAAAAAAATATTTTCACAAGGATTTTTTATAAAAAACATTTTCTAAAATAATTTCATTCATTTGTAAATAAGTCCTGAAAATTTAAAAAAAACTCTAACAATTATTTGATTTTTTGCAAGAATTTCCAAATTAATGTGTCTTTCACTGCAAAACGATGCTAAAATTTGCTATGCTAATTTATAGTTCATCTGTTGATGCAAGAAAAAGATTTTTAATCAAAAGTTCAAATGTTCTAAAAAGGATTAAAATATTTAATTAAATATTAAAAAATGCTTTGATTTTTCCTCTTAATAATAACATAAAGTTTTTGATGATAAAACATTGTTTTCATTAAGTTTTGGAGCATTTTTTTATTTTAGCAATTTTGTGAAGGTACCTATTTTACTATCATTTGTAATAGCTAAAGGAAATATAAATTGTCAATTTGTGGTGTATGGCTCAAAGATGTGCTAAAAATATTGTTCTTATTCTTTATGATGAATTAAAAAAATAGAAAGAAACAACAAATGTGATGCAAGGAGGGTATGTCTTACAGTAGCTACATTTCTGATCAGTTGATACTTTATTGTCATTTAGCCCTGGATTCCTCGTGTTTCTTGGAATTTTATTTTTGCGCCTGTTACTGCTAAATGTATCTGGAGCAATTAATGCTCTAATTCTGTCAGGTCTAAAAATATTTAATCATGTAGTTTACACAATTCTTCTATTCTAATTTAAAATATAATTACAGTATTTTTAATTTTAAAATGTAATTTATTGGATGTGTAAGCAGTGACGGTTTTAGAGTTGGCATCCTGGGCAAGTTGAACTTCGGTGCCTTTACAAGTATAACTTTTTAAAATTTTCACGAAGAGAAAAACTGAAAATGTAGAATAATGAGTTTTTTCACAATACACAAATTAATACAAGCCATAGAAAATATTCATTGTCCTACCTGAAACATTTTTTCTAGCCTTTAGAGCTGCAAATCTTTTCATGGCACTTTCTATACCATTCTTCATTTTCTATTGATAAGATAGATAAAGAATTTAATCTCTCTTGAGTCATGGATGACTGTAAGTATGTTTTTATAAGATTTCGGATTTCCAAAACACATGATAAGTGATTGCTCAAGTTGCCAGTACATTGAGCTTTTCATTCTTTTTAAGTATATCCACTTAATTTTGTTGATATATAATAAACACTGATAAGCAGAAAGAGTAAGCTAGCCTTAATTTTTTTCTGATGTGCTTTTCATATTAAAATTGAAACACTAAAAACTTGAACTTTGCTTGATGAAACCTATTTCCCAATGTTTGCAATAAAAATCTTTGCAAGAGCCATATAACTAAAGTGTAGTTCAGAGTTATTTAAATCTGTACTCTTATATTTAGGTTTTTGAAGAATAGGGCTAATGTTTCAATCTTCAGCACTGGTAGAAGATCTGTTTATAATTTCTGATAGTTTTGATAATCATTTTTATTTGAAGAAACTACTTTGAAAATGAACAAATTTTAATGATAGCAGAAAAGAAAAAAGACATAAGTGTTACATGAGAGAAAATCTTTTAGACAGATTGTAAATGGCATTGATAATTTGGCTAATCTATTGTTAATTTAGTTGAACTAATCATCTTTGTTGCTTTCAACATTATATTTTAACTAGTCAAATCTTCAGCCAATGAATGCTATTGAGTTGATTAACTGAGATGTTGAGTGCTACAGAAATGAAGATAAAAATTTGAATGAAACATCAGATATCAAGAATAATTCATTTCATTCAATTTAATTAACTGTTGGGAATAAGATTTAGTTTTTCAAATTTATCAAAGTTCCATTTTATTTTTAGCACTCTCAGAAAATTAACATTTTCAAAATTTGTAAGCAGAAGGATATAAAACATAGTAAAAAAAATGTATTTGTTGACTACAAATAACTAAGTAGATATTACCTATATTCATGTCTAAATTGTTTGTTCAGATCATCACATCATCATCTTTTCATCAAATCATATTCCAAAGTTCTTACTTGTGTCTATCCATTGGTACTTACTCACTTAAACTTTGTTCCTGCTTTTCTTTCTTCTTGTTAGCTGGTCGAATTGGCAGTGGTCGCTTTGACCGTGGTGAAAGAGATGACCGTCAAAGGGGCGAAGCCCCCGGATCAAAAGGTATAGGCATCATCTGAAGTTTATGTTTTAATGGTGCTAAATATTTGCTGCATGTCATTTTGTGCTTGGTGTTGTGATAATGTTTGCATAATAAAACAAAATTGATCACGCAGAACATATATATTCATTTGCACATATCCATGCATGTGTGTGTATCTCTCTCTCTGTCTATATATATATATAATATATATATATATATATATATATAGTGTGTGTGTGTATTTAGACAGAATTTTCATTCAAGCATGTCTTATTAAATTTGATTTGTAAAGTTTTTTCAGTTTTTCAAGTTGATGTATGAAGGGCTGTAAAACTTGATTACAGTTTTTGAAGAAACAGTCTCTTGTACTTTCTTACATCACTGGTCATTATCAAGAATGCTTATGATATTAACTTACAATCCTGAAAGCTTCTTAATTTCTATCAGGGTATCATTTGGATGTAATAAAATGTACATTTAAATTTATCAAAATTACCCAAATAAAAATTAATCAGAACTTATCTGGATTGTAAACAGATAACCTATTCTTGATAATGGCCAGTGATGCTAGAAAGTATAAGAACCAAAAACATTATGAACTTTGCAGTTTCTTTGTAACTTTGATTCAGCTTTACGGCAACTCATATGCTAACTTTTAAAAAATTACTAAATAATTGAATAAACCAAAAAAATGTCAGTCAAATTCTATAAAATGTAATAGATTAGGAATTCTTAACAGTAGGAAAATATATATAGTACCCAATATTTTAGAAGAATTTTTTACCTTATGAGAGGTGTTTGAAATTATAAAAAGTCAAGGTAATTGTTAAGAAATCCTGGTCTTATAAGAGAGAATCTTTAGTTGATATATGATATATATCCTTCTTTTTCATACACGCACATGCATATTTAACTTTTTTCATACAATTGCTTACACACTGCATTTCTACTGTTGTCATTATTTCTGTTAGTAATATTTATATGAAAATCATTGTGAATTGAGAGCTCTTTCATAAAAAGCTTGGCATGATTTGATATTTTGTTCATTTTGTTAAAATCTTCAGGAAACTTGACAAGACTTAAGTTATAAATGAATAAAGCACAAAATCTGTTTAGGCTTCTGCTACATGCATGTACATTATAAGTTATTCTAAAAAAAGTAATTGTTTTGTTAAAGATGTTTTTTAAACAACTTTACACTGTATTATAAAGATTATGACAGAAAATAGAGACTTTATCAATGTCTGTTTGATAAATATATTTAATATGAAAATCATACATAGAGAATTTATTTTGTTTGCTTAATATTTAAATGAACTAATTTTCTATATATTAGTTTACATTATAAAATCACTATATAAGAGAAAATCACATTGATGCTAAGAAACATTGTACTATAAAAGAATATCCTTATTTCTACTGTATGTATAAAACAACAGTTATTTTGTTGGAATTTCCACATAAAACAGTTATTGATCAAATATTCATGGGTAGTATGACTTTAAATTCTATTAACATTTATTTATAAAGTGGTGTGTATGATTATCTGTTTTTGCATGTGAAGGCCATAGTAACTGAAATATTATGTTGGAATCAGTTTTCTGGAGTTCAAATCTAGTCAGTGTCATATTTATTTTCTTTCTGAATTTTAAGAATACTCAGAACACTCTCTTCCATATTGATTTGTATAGATGATTAAAATGTATGTAGTAAGAAAATATTTCTCATTTTCAAGGACGTAATTGAGTTTTTGTAAAAGCTTCTCTTTATATTGCCCAGAATTTATTGCAATGCCAGATACCAGGGCTGGTACTAGGTTCTCATGCCCACATCTATGATACAGGGCCCCTCACACTACTACATCTCAATTTTCATTAGTAGTATTCATATAAACTACAAATTTTATTATAACCTAATTATGTACAATAATGGATCAAATCATCCTGTATATGTGAATTAGAAAAATTGAAAATAAATAAATTGTATCTAAATATAAATTAGAGATAATGGATCATTCCATCTTAAATAAGCCAAATATATTTTGCAGCAATTTTTTAACATCAGCATGAGATTTCTTCTTGATAAAAAGTTGAATAATGTACCAGTCTAAAAATAAATGCCCCCCTCTCCCCATACAATTTCTTTATAAAATGTTAAATTCCTTTTTACATAAGACAAATTCGCTTTTCATTGGTGTCCTTGGGCCGATATCTGCTACTCTCAGATAGTTTTAATGTCATGGACAAACACCTGTTTTTTTCCTAAGAAATACCTATGACAACAAGTGATGCACCAAGATCTTTGCTCACAAAATTCAATTCTTATAATTCAAAAACTTTCTGTATGATGATCAGCAGAACAACTGAACTTGTGGCTACCTTTAATATTATTGGGGAGGGACAACTTTCATAAAAAAACAGTAAAAGTGCAGGGGAAGATGCCATAAGTGCTGAACTTAACAAGTATAGCTCAAGGTCTCTTTATCTGATAAATGAATTCAACATTTCTGCTGAAAAATAGTGAATTTTACATAGTGTTTTTTCAAGACTTAGCATGAGCAAATGTATTTACTACATTTAAGTGAGCACATTCATTTTCAATGGGAATTATTGCTAACCCAGATAATATTTTATTAGTTTTAGTTTGCTGAAACTTCTTTCAGCACTTGTAACAATCACTGGTATAGTAAGCAACACTTGCAATGAAAGTTTGAGTGAGTGTCAACTAAAGGATTCTGAAAAACCGTGGGCAGTTTTTAGCTCCCTTTTTCTGTTCCTAATCTCCAATTCTTGTTGCAGAATTGAGTCAAATATCTTGATCTTATGGGGCAATTCTTTTAGTTCAATGTCACTCATTCTTTTGTGAAATCTTTTGCACAAATCTTGCACATCCATTAATAGTATCTTCTAAAGGTTGAGGCAGAAAATAATGTATATAAACAATTAATTACCTCAAAGAATCTAACAGAAACCACCAAAGACTGCACTATCCAACAAACAAAATTCAAAGTGCATTACATGGAACAAATAAAGCTTTTTCATCTCAAGTAATCCTCATTGATGACCTTTGTACTTACCTGGTATATATTTCAGATAAAAAGATTGTCCCATTGATTAAACACTTCACCAGACTCCTCCAAAATTCCTTCTGCTTCTGAAGTAATTTCATTTCTTGTATATCTATGGTTACTTGTCAGATTTGCATCTATCTACTGAGACAAGTATTGTTGATGGCTTTTACCATGTTCATGTTCTTACAATATTTTAGAAATACCTTCCCACACCTTTGTTCCTTTTACAAGAAGCAGCTCTGAAGACATAGAATCACTAAAAAGTTTGCAACAGAAACAATAAATTCAGTCACTTTTGAGAGATATACCAACCATGAACATGTCACTTTTTTCCTATTTGGCATTAGTTGAAAATAATGTCATTTTGAGAAGCATCTTCTGTATTCATTATTAGGATATTCATCCAACTCCAATTTGAGTAGGGTTATGTTCAGTGATATATCATTATTTATCAGAAATGACAAGAGGTCTCTCAGAAATGTCATCAGATAAAGTAGTAAATTTAGAGAATACTGTTGGTGTTATCTTCTCAGTAAACATTTCTTCTTCATTCTACAGTAGGTGTCTCATCTTTGTGTGATTGTTCATATTCAAAAAATTTTGAACATGATTCAGTTGGCTGTGTAAAAAAAAATAAAATAATGACAATAATAAGAGATTCTCAGGAGCTTGTTTATTAATGCTGTCATCTACTCTTTCTCTTTTCATCTTGGTGATCTGCTTTTATATCGTTTCATACCGGTAAGATATGATTGAAAATTTAATTTTATCATGGAAACAATCATTTTGTAGTAATTTGCATCAGTTGAAAAATTTACTCTTAAATTTATTTTTTATCTAAAGTTTATTTTATTAAATTATTGAAGTCAAGACAAGCAGACAACCCTAGTATACCATGTGAACAAGCAAAGATGGAACAATCAGGTAAAGGGTGTTAGTGTAGGGATTAGAGTATAAAATGACAGCAGTTTAACAAATAATAAATTTTATATAAGAATATAAATCAAAGTTACAAGGTGTTGAGGATCTTTTGAATTTTGTGAAAATATTTTGAATGTTTCTAGAGGAAATAAATGAAAGCTGAGTCTTCATAAAAAGTTCAGTACTTCTGAGTAGTTACAGCCCACAACATTAAAATGTTAAAACATAGCAAAAATAAATTCATTGAATATTATATAAAATTAGTGCTACAAACAACAATTTGTAGTATTAGGATATGAAGTTGGTTTGGGTTGATTGAAGAAAGTATTGTTTTGGGTTATTTTTTTTGAATTTTTTCTCTCTCTGTCTAAAAAAAAAAATCAATTCTTCTTGGATAGCCCTATGGTGTACAACAAAAAAATGAATGCCTGATTTTTAAAATCTTCCAAAATAAAATAATGTAGAAATTTTATTCAAAGAAAATTGATTCATTTAAGGATTAATTAACTTAGTTCTTTTTATTTTATTTTTTAAAATCATTTCACCCCAAGCAAGGTGATAATACCATCAGACACAAATGTTTACTGGAACCAGAAACTCAATTTCTGGAGAAACATCGAAAATTATTTTTGTAATTGTGTTACAATAGAAAAAGAAAAATTAAGTTCTTTGCATATTATGGTAGAAAGAAAGTTCTTACTTGTAATGAAGGTGTTCAGTAATAAGTGACTATTTGGAATGAATAGTAGTCACAAAAATAAATTCCTTGTGAGTAATCTATGCATCTTGAAGTGTGTTGTAGTTGTTTTGTAGTTTTGTCTTGTGTTGTACAATGGAAGAAATTTTCTGTTGTGTCTGTCCAAAGTCAGTTTTTTATGGTTCTTCTGGTGCTGCAGCTATCATCTATTTTTAGTGTTGATGAAAAAACATGTGTCTTTGTGTTTGAAATGTATTTAATTTAATAGTGTAGTTTTTTACATTTTATTTTAACACCACAATAATTAATTAAACTAATAAAGTAAAGTATAT